AACAAGTCATACAGTTACGTATGTAGTATAACTAGTAATGTAATTTTATTTTTATTTAATAGAACCGGAAGAATCGTCTACTAGCTTATAAATTTTTAGTTCAGCACTATAAGTCGTAAGACTTTTAGATGAAAAAAAAAAATCGATAAAAATTATTGTTAACCATTCAAAAAAACGTTTTCATATTTTAACAGCAACTAAACAATCCGTGAATATAAGTTGTGCAGCGACTACAAGTGTAGTGCAGTGAACAAAAGAATATGATTTTAGAGAGTGGCTCGAGGGAAGAAACCATCCGTTGGTGGAACTTCGTGATTTAAGAAAATGAATCCTTGAAATGTATGTTTCGGAACGATTAAGAGTAATTATTTTATACCCGTAACGGTCACATCTTATACATGGCAACGGCAGCGGGTCACGGACATAGACATTCGTCAACACTTGTTGAACGATAACCTGTAAGCTGTTGACGTACCTATTATTATTATGGCCGACTTACCACGTCGTCCGCGCGGTGCTTTTATCATGGTCGAGTCTGTGTCATCGCGCCGTTATGCGACAACAATGGTGTTATATTAACAAACCGTATCCGCGCGGTGTACGAAACCGTCGGACGTCTTGAATAGTTTAGAAAAAAAATTAAAATTAAATTAAAAATTAAATCTCATAACTGCCGATCGTTTCGATACCTATCGCTAACGAGAAAAAAAAAAGCGGTTCGCTGAGTGCAATTTTTCGACGACCGATTCGGATTTTATTTTTATTTTCGTACTACGACCCGCTGCACGTGTCCGCACCGCTGGGCCACGAAGATTTTCGAAATTCACTCGACAGCTCCACAGCCCGCGCGAGCTATTTCATATTTTCACGGTATTCGTTAGAGGTGGTGTAAAATTGTATAAGCTCTGCGCGACGTGGTGATTTCGCGTCAACCAACATATAATACGTCATTGTAGTCCGTCGGGTGGAATAGTTCGAGAACCCTATCCCGTGGTTGAACCAGTGGCGTACCTGTGCAACATTCGGAGGGGGGGGGAGGGGGCATAAATTAATTGCATAATTTTTTACGGTTATAATATAATCTGAAACTTTATTATAAATCATTACTAAATACTTAAAATTCATTTTGATCACTTGATATCAATGATAACTACATTATAAAATAGTGACTATATGTGACCATCACTCCTAATCCCAATTCGGTCGAATATTGATATTTTATATTACACTGATGAGTGATATCAAAATCTTTTGATATCAAACACAATTATAATCAGTGAAAATTAAAAATATTTATAATTTACATTATTTAAGCTGAATGATTAATTTGCATTATGGCATCAAAAAACTTCTCGGAGAGGGAGCAAATTCCCCTGTTGCCCCCCCCCCACAGGTACGCCACTGGGTTGAACTGCGTTTCGCGATTGGTAAAACATCGGTGGTACGCGCGTGCTACTGGTGAATCGGGGTTCGCAGGGGCGGAAATATAGCCAAGGTTATTCTCAACACTCTAATAATTTTTAACTTATATAATAATTTAATAAATTACAACCACCTTAATACATATACATAAACAAACCATGGGTCGTACTAATGTGTATTATAATTTTTTTGATTATTTCCCATTAATTATTTGAATTATTTCTAAGTCACCTCATAGTTATGAAGATAATTACAACAGCTTTTGAAGTTACATGACAGCTGGATATTTATATAATTGTTATGCAATCCCTTAATCATTTATGCATGAACAAAAAATAGCTGTATTAGGACGGCGTTTTTATAAATTCATACAGGCCGGCTAAATTTATAATGCCGGCCCTGAGGGTTCGATACACCAAATATATTGATACCGAATAGATCCCTCGACGGCGACCGCTGAGCGGTAAGTATATCTAAAGGTTTATTTAATTTTCCTCTCGTGAAAATCATATTCGAAATGGTTGTTGCCGGTGGTAAGATCGAGAATATTTTTATTTATTTTTTTTTATATTATTATTAACGAAGGGACGATGAGACGCGACGGACGAGCCGAGAACGCAACTAAAGAGGGGCTATATTTAAAATATCGAAGCAAATAAAAAAATCATCGAGTTCGAGAAGAAGCGTTCCTAGTGGAGTTCGGTTTGCTACGTTACATTGTTCGTACACGTTCAAGTGCTCGTAAAAAATCGTTTATCGCGGGTTCTCAAACGTTTTTAATACGTTATGAATAAAGCGATTGGATTGATTAAATACAAATTTCAACGATCCGTTTGCAATACGAAAACTATACAAATTCTATCACACGAAATGAACCATGCAGTTGTACACAGTTCGTTATAAAACGTTCGACTATAACAAAAATCGGCATTTTCAAGTAGATATTAGCATGTTATTCTATTAAGTCGAACACCCAAAAAGCGTGTGCTGCAATTGTTATATTGTTGTGGACGCAAATCATCAATTTACATCATATGTATTCTTTCTCTAAAAACAACTTATACTTACACCTGTATACTGTAAAGTATGGTTCTAATAACTGGAGCAGTCACATAATTATTTCATTCGTACCATTTTTTTTTATTTATATTTTTTCTTGCTCCACGCACCATTCAGTCGCTTTGCAGCTTCTACCAATGCTCTCCAACGTTATCGATCCTTTGCATCTCCACGACTCGTTCCATTTCTAAATGTTTTTAAGTCATCCTTCGGTTAGGTTAATTCGGTTCATCTACCGTTGTCGTGCTCTTCCCACGGGTCGTTTTCTTATTTGGCTTGTGCACGAGAGCCTGTCCAACCAAGCTACCCTCTGCACGCCATACATTTCCAGCCCACTCTAACCGTTTCGACCCCTGAAAATCTTGTAAACCGGGTGCATTGCTTAAGTCTGCGTTTTTCCTGTGTTCGCATACACCAGTGTCGGGGCTCAACACAGACCCATACATTTTTCTAAGTATTTTTTTTCGAATGCCAATAGCTTGTTCTCGTCACCTTGCGTCGTACACTGTGTTTCATATCCGTGGGACGTAAATAGGCGATGTATAACTGTTTGTTTGTGTTCCTTGAAAGTAGTTTCGATATGAACATTCTACTCATTGCGTGGTGACCTCGGTTTCGGCGAACTTTTTCTGGACTTAATCTCGTTATGCATAATATTTTTATGGTTTATGTTAACATCTAAACATTTAAAATCCTCCATTTGTTCAAAAGATAAGTGCTGAACTCTTAAATGTTTACATGGTACTGGGTGCCTGCCCATTAACATATACTTATACTTTATTTTAAGGCTATATATTTACTTTTCACTATGAGCTTTCTTATCGATTCTTCTACTTCCTTGTTTTTTTTATTTCTGCTATTACGTGTGCGAATCATTGTCAATAATATCAACTGTCTTCATTTTGATGTGCACTAATCGCCGCTGTGTCGACTTATTATTTATGTTTTGTGTCTGAAATTATTATTATAGCGCTGGCCAACAAAGCACCTACGAACTGCGAGTTAACATTATTTTATTATAATCTATTATCACTACTGTTATTTTATCAATCGCAATTGAATTTTGTTGTTTTGTATACTGGCCGTGCACATCATTTTGATCATTCTTTATTTATATATTTTTAACCGTACGAGTCTAAAGGGCCGATTATCATATTACCATTTATTCATTATATTTATTTATTTTATTATTGTTTGTGCCCAGAGAGCAAATGATTGTTAGTATTTTTATTATTTTTTATACTACAGAATATATATTTGATTATTATTTTACCATTTACTGTTGAGCCAAATGGGCTAATTGTATTGCAGTGAATTATTTATTTGTTATTATTAATTATTTTTGTACCAGCAATACGCAATTATTATTTTCACATATAGAAACTATACCATTTTGTGTTCCCTTTATTTAGTAGTTACCGTTTTTTCCATAGTTAGACATAATACGCATACACATTTACACGGTGACGTATCCAGAATTTTTTTTTTGGGTGGGGAGTTAGTTTATTCGTAATATATACTATACGATATCTTGAAAATAATGGAGACCGCTGGGCGCTGTGTCGATCAATCATTAAATTAATTAAACATTAAACAATTTTAGGGGGGGATTGTAACCCCTTACTTCCTTGGATACACCACTGCATAAACACATCTGACAAATTTTAACACCACATAGCTCACTAATAGTTGCGCGGTAAACCCAACCACTATTAGTGGAGCTATTACACAACTACACACCAAAACATGTTTTGGTCGGTCGGTGGTACGCAGAAGTCGGTGTCCGGACGCGCGTCATACTATTTGGGGCGGTAATGGTATGCGCACAAATATCAAAAAGACAAATTGTTTGGGCACAAAACTACCAATCGTTTGGGAACAATCGAGTCGTAATCATACACATGGTTTGCGCACAGTTACCTTTTAGACTTTAATAGTTTAGTACCTTGCATATTAATATTTCTTTATTATTAAAGTACTTGCATACATTTTCCTTCCCCCTTAACAGGCTTAGGACTGTCTATGAATGTATTCATATGTGTGGTTAAAAATGTATGTTAATTGCTTATTAATAATTGTAATAAATAATATTTAATACTTGTACAAGTTAAAAATGCATGTTAATTTTAATTTTAATATAATATGATTGGTATATATACGTATAGGATAATATATACGTGTCTATTATTTTTTGCAATAAAAGTTTCCCATTATTTGAATGTATTTAATTTGGTTTATTTCGTCAGATGTATATTTTGTCCATTAGTTTATGCGATGTTCAACTGAATCTATTCACTCCTTACGGCGATAATTATTTATATTTTTGTTGATTGATGTTATTTTTAACTCTGTTTCGCTTTGTATTTTAAGAATTACGCTTATTACCTGGTGTATGTAGGGATGTGGAGTGTAAAATTGTTGGTTAAAATGTCTATGAAATGCTTCTATACCGTTCGTAGTTCGAGGTTCGTCTTTTGGATGTCCTGCCCATAACGTAGGATTAAATTTTGAATCGGGAATTATATATGTTTCAAGAACGTAGTTGGAAATGAAAAATCTGATGTTGGGTAATCTGATATTAATTGTGTAAAGGCATCTTTTACTTCTTCTGGAGGTAAATACGGCAAACCAAAAAAACTTTTAAGCCAATTACCAATATTGGAATTTTTGTTATTATACTCAAGTAATAATTGTTTTTTTACTTTAAATGTGCCGAAACTAACTTTGAGTTAGTATAAGTACAAGCCACAATTTTACAGTCGGGATAACGATTTAGTAAAGCATTGTGTGCCGATATCTTAAAATCTACATGGAACTCTTTAATATTTACTTCTTGGTTAAGCGTATAAACACAAAGATTCTGAATTGTTATCCACATTGTTTTATACGTTGAAATTGACTTACTCTTCAAAAAAATATTATTTTCGTGTGCGCAAACCAGTTGTATATTTAACATAACCGTGTGCGCAAACGAGTTCCGATTTTTCATGTAAAAATTATGAATTGTGCGCAAACAAGTTGCAGCCACTATTTGTCGTACTCGGCCCATACAAGCAAAATATTAAATTACAATTTTCATAAACAGTACATTATCTCAGCAGCCATTAGGTTATAACATTAAATGTAATATAAATATAGTTTATTCGAATATTAACAATTTATACTACATTTTCTCAATCTACGAGTAAAACAAAAAAATCATTATTTACATTTATATTTAATTTTTAAACTTATTACTTTTACAATGAAATTATTTATCTTCATCGTGGTGGGAGACAGTCAAAGAATTACGTAATCGTAGTTAAATGATAACGTGTAATTTATGATATATAACAGACTATTTTACACTCGCTACATTTTCAAAGATAGACCAAACTAAACTAATAATGGTAAATAACGATACGAATTGGTTAGGTGAACTTAGAATTACTAAGTTTGCGGTAAATTCAAGTATATATTTTTAAATGCAAACGTTAAAACCTGAACAGAACACATGATCGACGATGTGTCTATATGATTGCTAGTGACACGCAGTTCGAAATTGTATGCGTCAGAACTTCAGCTGTCGAAGAAAAATGTATATCCTATAACCACTGCTCCATTGCACTTAGAACTAACGGTTTTATTATAAATGGCATAAACAGTGTTTCAGGTAAGTTTTTAAATTGTCTGCGGATTCGGGGAGGTAAGTATCATGACAAAGAGCTGCGGCACAGTGATCTTATTGGTTTTGGAGAAAACGAGAAGAACTCGATCACGTACAAATTTATTTAGAATACCATCCCGGTAAAAATACTGAAATTAGACATGACGAAAACAATAAAAAATACACGTCCAAACTCCATTCCCGAAAAACCAGCTTGAACACGGACAAACCGGTGTCAAGAAATTCCACTAAGAGCAAACTCGAGGAACTAGAAAAAAATATTGACGCATATGAACATTGTACAAACGCACAAATAATGCATTAAAAAGATGTTATTCACCGGTTGACCGATGAGCGTCCGAAGAACTTAGGAATCGCTTTCATGTTGAATTTTTAGAAACGAACTATTGTGTACTATGACTCGTGATCAAAGCCACGGGTGCTAAGTTGTAGCCACACTTTCTGCGACCATTGCATTGTAAAATAGATGTACTTTCTTAGTTGCAGTTTACGGATTCTCATCTTCACTAAATTAGAGTCACACATTGAACGGTTACATCAAACGGGTACGTAGGTAAATAGGGTAAGTAGGTCCAGTGCGAGAAGAAAGTGATAACGTGGCGCTGGAAGAATCGACTGTTCCGGAAATGATTACCACGAGATGCCGGCTAATATATTTTCAGATAAATAAATTATATGCAAACAGCCTACCCTATATTGCTTTGGGGCTGTTTTTTTGTCTTGTTTGTCAAAAAATAATATCTCGGGGGTAAGAAAACGTTTTCATTTCACGGCTTCCCTAAGACAATACTGGTGAAATATTTTTGGATTCGTATCAGGATACAGGATATAGTGTCAGGACCAGTGACATAATATAAACACAACACCTCGTTACGAGCTTCTATAGAATACCTCTATGATACAAGTCATAAGTATAATGATAACAATGTGCGATAATAAAACAAATACAATTTTTAAAACTAGAGATCAACTACTAGTACAGTAGTGCCTACACAATAAAAATAATAACTTACTATGACAATGATAAACGAAATAAATACAATAACGCGTAACATAAATAAATAAAACATTTTTTTTTTTTTTTTTTTGGCGTAATAAACAATACTATCAGCTTCGCATTGGCCGGGACTAATCATAATATAATGTTACAATCGTAAGCCAAAATCGGGGTATGGGGCTTACGACCGTTATGATGATACAAATTGTTTGACCGAACGTGCGAGTAAAAAAAAATATAAGTCCCGGCCTCGATCCCTACCTACGGTTCGAACTAAATGTGTAATAATAGTATGAGGTACAATAGTCGTAACATTCACGTTAAACGTTGTGCACGATTTATGTATATCTAGCTATCAATATAATATTACAGTATACATTAAATAAAAACAATTAACCGAAAATCTCTTAAGTCTAAATAGCTTACAATTTATTTTTATTTTTTATACATTGGACATGGGTTTAAATTGTTTTTCGTACTTCCTCCGCCCGATTTATTTTGATATTAATTACATGAATGTTTTAAGGTGTTTCGGTAAACCACAGTATTTTCCGCGTACTAAAATGGATCTATAACGGCTAATAAATCGCAACGATAGTGATTGCAGTGCTTGGAAACACTTTTTTTTTTTTTTTATGAATACAGATACAGAGAGGTAAGAAGTACAAAGGTCTTTGTGCGTTTTATGTACACAGCGAGGGATCGCATAACCTATTACCGTCTTATTGTGCATAAATCACGTACTTGTATAACAATTTACATGTGCGGAATATAACTGGCATTAAAATTAATAAAAAAAAAAAAAAAATGCCGTTAAAACGTATCGAATATAATAGGCAAAATTTTTTCATTATACATTATGTAACGGAATAAATATTCTCTCTAATGTAATTAACATGTTCCGACACTACGGCCACCACTTGCACTAATGTTAAACCAGATATATTATTGATTATCGGACAAATAATTTTCATTATTATTTTATTCTACGTCTGGAAACATGGCATCCCGAATACAACAGAATATTATACGGATAATTCAATTAAAGCAATAAGACATATTTGTTTTATAATTTCTATGATATTATTGATATTATGTACATACGCAAATCGATAGTTTTATTAATGAAATTCCCTAGTAATGGTTCGACAAAATCTCACTAATTCTCATGGAATTTTCGTTGTATACGTGGTCAGACGGTTTGAAAAACGTTCAATATTGGTTTTAACGAGTCTCCTCGGTAACGTGAAAGTCGAGTTACGACGATTGAAAACAACTAAGAATCTATGATACGATTTGTTATAAACGAAAACCCGTTTAACAATATATTTCAATCGTTCGTACACGTCGTTGTACACATATTAGGTGTGGCGAGGTATGTTCGCGATATGGGTAAGTTCGTGATATTTCTTTAAACTTTTATCACTCAAATGTCTATTAAGCATTACACCTGAAATTACGTTAAATTTTATCCGTAATACTATTGTCAATTGTCGTAAAGTCGTTTAATGCGTGAGATACGTTTACTGTTTATTATCAGTTTATACATTTTGTATCACAGTTTTTCACGTGTTGAACATCAACATTGTTGTATCAGTTTTAATTAATTTTTTTTTGTGCGTATAAGGTAAGTCTATTAATTTTTATTTTATATTACTATAAAACATACGTGATTTAATGGTATGATTTTTACATTTTATGCGATTGATTTTTATTATTAATTCCTTACCGCAAATATGCATTTTCTTACAGTTTTCACCTCAAATTATTTTGTTTTTTTAAGCGTGTTTTTTAATTAAATTTAACAGCTTCAAATATTATTTTAAGCACTTAATATCTTTTAGTAAAATGAATATTAATATATTTATCTGTTCAAATTTGCAAATTATTTTTTAATCAAGCCTATCACGGAATTACCTGTTATTACGAAATTACCTAATACCACAAAAATTAGTTATATTTCAACTTATTCCGTTAAACATTTTAAATTATATGAATATTTATACTTTTTTAATTATTTTAAAATATTTTATGGTTTTCAGATCACACGCACTAGCACAATGATAAAAAAATATTGAAATTATGATAATTCTGAATTGATAACGGCAACAAAAATGGTCAATGAAAAAAAATGTCCGTTTACAAGGCTGCAAAAGTCAATGGGGTTTCCTGGAGTTCACTCAAGAATTATTTGAAACGTGGTAATTCAACATTAGTTTCAAAAATGGGAAGGCCATATAATTATAATTTTTATTAATATTATTAAGAAATTATTAGGTGCTTTTGTTTTATTTTAATTATCTCAGTTAATTATTACCTAGTTAATTAGTTTGATTAGGGTATTACCTACTATTTTATTTTAGAGATTTAAGTATAAATAAGTATTATTAAAATGTTATAATATTTGTTTTAAATAATAAAAGAAATTATTCGAATGAAATATTTCAATTATTGTGTGCTCACGAAATTACCTAACTAGTATCACAAAATTAAATATTAAATACCCCATCACGACATTACCCGAAATTTCTTAGTGGATTTTGAATTGCCATAAAAATAATTCAAAGGTCATATAAACTCAAATGTATATAGATTCTAATTCCTTTACTCCGTGTGTAACTAATAATAATATGAATTATATCCAATAACTAAAATTGAATGCGTAAGTAGATATTTTGTGAATTTATCACGAATACACCTCACCTCACCCTATACGCATTATAAGGTATTATTTATTCCACGGATCATATGATGGAGTGTAGACGATAAACGGACGAGATTATATAAATTTATGTGTACGAGTGTGCAGAGTGCGTGCGGCGTTATAAATGGAAATGATCATAATTCCAAAAAACGAGCAGGAAAAGCGTTCAAAAATTTGATTCGGAACCAAACGAAATACGAAGTGATAAACGTAAAATATCAGAAAAATATGTTTCAAACACGTGCGGATACGTCTATAACGTGATGGTGCAACGTTTATATTTACAACGCCAACTGTACAGTGTACACGGAAAACAAAAGCGAAACGCGCAATGGTCTAAGGTGTTACCTAACCTAACGTAACGTGTGGTTATACCGTTCGCGTACCTAACCCGTGAACGGAACGGAAGTGACAAAAGACTTTTCAACAGTTCTCGCGAGCGACATTCTTTTTTTTTTTTCACACAGATATTTACACATTTGATGCGCGCGAGAACCGCACGCCGCGGTCGAGCGCAACGATACGATCCCGAACGGTCGGGCGCCGCTGTCCGAATTCAAACGTCGTTGCCCTCGCGGTACGGCGGCCGCGGCCGCTGTGGGACGGCCGGACCGGTCTCGACACGTCTCCGGTGCTGGTGGTGACGTCGGCGGTGTCGGCGGCGGGTGATCGCGGGTCCGCCGCCGCCGC